GATGGCAGGAAAGGGCATTCAAGAAAGGAAGAATTGGCTGGGCGTGGTGGCTCACACCTGCAATCCCAGCACTTTGAGAGGCTGAGGCAGGCAGATCACTTGAGGTTGGGTGTTGAGGAACATTGTTTACCCTGCCCCCAGGGTTCCCTTGTGGAAGATACTTTTAGTTTGTGATTAGTGGTAGGTGGGTAACAGCTGCCTACTTGGTATATTATTGAGTTATGTGTATATGTAGAACACCTGTGTATTAATGAGAATCACCTGTCCAAGAGTAAATAACTATGTGGATGAAAATCCGGTCAGGACTTTTAGTCTGGAGAGCTGTCAGCCCCACAGGCTCTCAGGCTGTTGGTTCCCCAGGATCCATCCACTGTGTTGTGCTATCTGAGTGTCTGCCTCTCAAATACCTTTGGCCTGCCTGGGTGGGAGTCTTCTGACTGAGCTGGTTCTCGGTAAGTGGCACCCAAGTGTGGGGACTCAAACCCAGGATGAAGAGTTGCTAGAGCAACGGAGAAAGGAGAGGCTAAGCTGAAGGTATCCTGAGTACATTTGGAAAGAATCCCCGAGGCAAAGTGGGGAGCTCAGAAGGAATCCTGGGAATGTTTGAAAAACTCCCCCAGGTGAGTTAGGGGGAGCCCAGGGAACCCGGGGGAGCCCAGGGAACCCAGGGGAGACTCCCGGGTGAGTTAGGGAGAACCTGGGTTTAGGCCGAGAATGCTAGAGAAAAAGTCTCCCCAGGTTAGCTGCGGGAGCTCGGGATTAGCCCGAGAACCTTTGAAAAGATCTCCCAGGGCGGCAGCTGGGGGAGCTCGGTCATATTGGGGTAACATGGGACAAAATCAAGTGCACACGGGGCTTATTTGGTCTCTTTGGGCTTTGATGTGTTTTGCCCTGGAGCTGTTTCAGACCCGACGAGAAGGAAGATGATTCGGGAGAGGAGGAGTGTGATAAAGTATGTAAAGAAATTATAGAGCAAAAAAGATGAAAAGCCAAATGAGGAAAAGGTGTGCCCGTCAGCTCCCCCTCCCAGTGTCTTGCTGAGGGATGGCCAGTACTCGCGATATTTCTACCTCTGCTTCTGGTGGCGTTTCTATTCCTAGAGCTACGGTAACCACTTCAGGCGTTTGTATTCCCAGAATTACAGTAAGTGGTTTCACCCAAGCCAGAATTCAGCAAGTGAAGCTGGGAGGTGGCCTCCCAAGGTGAGCCGGAGGGATTACAGGTGTGGGCCACTTCTCCCGGCCAGCAAATGTCTCTTAAATGAATGACTGCCTGTGTGGTCAATGATGATGCCATCATGAGCAACGATGTGACACATCTGAGGTCCCAGATGCTGCTCTTTGTCCCTGATCCCGCTGCAGAGCCTGTGTCTGCCATGGATTTACTTATGAAACAGGGTCTCTGTCACCCAGGCTGGAATGCAGTGGCACAGTGTTGGCTCACTGCAACCTCAGCGTCCCACACCCAAGTGATTCTCCTGCCTCCGCCTCTGGAGTAGCTGGGACTACAGGTGCATGCCATGATGCCTGGCTAACTTCTGTATTTTTAGCAGACACAGGGTTTCACCATGTTGTCCAGGCTAGTCTTGAACTGGCCTAAAGTGATCAGCCCACCTTAGCCTCACAGAGTGCTGGGATTCCAGGCACGAGCCACCACACCCGGCCTAAAGCTCCCTTCTGAGGGACATAATAGTTTAAAATTGTTGTCTTCTTGATTAATTTATCCCTTATTGTGAGATGATCCTCTTGAATACTCTTTGCTCTGAAATCCACTTTCAGTGATTTCACTGAAAATGGCGTCACTGGTAAACCAAAGACCTGCGACCAAGGAGTCCACACAGGAGCCTGGCTGGACTGGCTGCGGATGCTCCGGTTTCTGCCCCACTTGCCCCAGGATGTGGGGGCTCCCTGTACCTAGTAGTATTACCTGAAAGGAGTCCCAATCCTGACCCCAGGACAGGGTTCTTGGATCTCAACTGAGTATATTTATGATTATTTCTTGATTATATACTAAACAAGGGGTGGATTGTTCAAGAGTTTCCCAAGAAAGGGGAGGGGATTTCCCTTAAATGGGCCCCTCTCTGTTTTAGACAGAGTCTAACTTCTGGACATTGCCATGGTATTTATAAACTGTCATGGCGCAGGTGGGAATGTCTTTTAGCAGCTAAAGCATTAGAATTACCGCATAATGAGCAGTGTGGAGGACTGGAAATCACCTTTGTTGCCATCTGGGTTTCGGTGGGTTTCTTCACTGCATTCTGTTTTATCAAAGGGGTGTCGGTGACTTGTATCTTGTGATACCAATCCTGCCAACCTCCTGTCTTACCCTGTGACTAAGAATGCCTAACATCCTGAGGATGCAGCCCCGTAAGTCTCAGCCTCCTGTGACCCAGCCCCTATTCAACATGGAGTCGCTCTAGTTCAATTGCCTCTGACAGTGATGATCTATCCTTCCCTGGGGCTCAGCCTTCACCCACTGAGGGGCCGTAGATGGGAGAATGTGTTTGGTTGGTGGAGATAACAGCTGAATTTCCCAGCCCCTGTGATCCAGAGGCTCCTTCAAGACACTGGGGCTGGAGAGGAGTGGGGGTCTATATGGGGGTGGGCAAGAGAGGCTGACGATGGCCTCTTTTTCAAGAGGGGAGAGGCACGCTTGCCAGGAAGAGGCTGAGTGCAGGAGAGAGCAGCGGGACTGATGTTTGAGGCAAGGTTCCCGTGGAGGGAGGAGGGAAGAAGCTGGGGGTGATGCCTGGAGGCCAAGGTGGCACCACTGGGCCCTTCCCCAGCTCCTGGGGGGAGCCCAGGATGGGCCCAGGTGAGCAGGAGGGAAGGAAGGTCCGGTGTGGGAGTGCAGGGTGGGTGCTGGTTTGGGGTGAGGACCTGGGGAAGCAGGCTAGGTTAGGAAACGCCCAGGCTGAAAGTGAAACCGCCTTTGCAAAAATTCTATCAATGAGAAAAACCGAGTGAGTGAGCTGAGCTAACACACCCCCGGCTTTCCTTTCCCTTAATGATTGCCGGGCTTTTGGGCTGAAGTAACTTTTGAGAGACATTTAGTTCATAGTTTAAATAACAGGCCTCCCCCACACTCTGCTGCCTGCGTAAAGCTAATGACAAGCCATGAGGCTAGAGGGAGGAGCCAAGGTGTGGACCCCTCTCACAAAATACGCCATTTCCCCAACGTCGATTGGCCTTGGAGACGTATTTCTGGGTTTTTTGCATGTCTGATACCCATGGTTCTACCTGGACCCGCCAGTCTCGCTCCTGTGGCGCCCCCGTCAGAAGCAGGAGGACAGCTTTGAGCCACTATGAGTTCATGTCTGCCCAACCAATCGCCTGTTACCTGGCCACCCCAACCCCCTAAACTGCCTTGAAAAACCCCTGCCTGTTGGGTACCAGCCCCAACCCTGTTCGTGGGTGTCCCAAGCTCTGGTGGTGACGAGGGATTGAGAAAGGAAATAAAGACAAAGACACAGAAATAAAGTGAAAGTGTGGGTCCAGGGGACCAAAGTAAAGTGCGAGGGCCATGTTTGCCTGAGTTCTGGTGTCTGCAGGTTTTTATTAGGGGCAATTACTGGTGAATTGAGGGGTGGAAAGCAGCGGGGGGGGGGGGGGGTTAAAAGGGGAGGCCTTGAAACTACTGTGGGGCAAGATAGCCGGGGGAGAAGCATGCATGATTACAATACACAACACAGCTGGTGTTTCTAAGAGACGCTGACGCAGTATGCCAGTTTTACCGCTGGTCATTAATGCGCAGCCGCAGCGGACACGGCGGGTGGGGATGCCACCAGGTCTGACCACACACAGTGCGTCAAGGGGCTTTTGTCTCCCGAGCACTGTGGACATGGGGCAGCCATGTTACCCCGTATTCTGAGAACGCAGGCAGAGCGGCAGGTGTTCCCCTATTCCACCCGCAAGGCCTTCCTGCCTTGCCAGCTCCCGTCTGCAAAGACCCTCCTGGATCCGGTGAGCAGGGGTCGCTGACGTTTCCTGGGTGCTTACACAAGCCCCCTTTACGTGACCACGTGCAGACCCCATGTTGGAAAGGAGTTTGTAGGACCAAGGCGGTGTTTTCCTGCCCCGCGATCACACCCAGGATGTGCCATGCTTAATACGGCCTCCCGTTACCGCTTCTGCTCCTGCTTTTGCAAGCTACAGGCTGTTCCCTTTCGTGCTGTGCTTTTCATTCACTATTATTTCAGGGTATAAACCTCAGTGTACCGCGAACTCTATAATAAGCAAAATCAAACTGACATTTGTTTAATCAGTAACAGTAGAGACAGCGTATGTCTGCCCCTGCTCATCTGGGCCCACACCTACCTATGAGCCTTGGATGAGATGATTTGAGTTCAGACTCTCTCCCCCATGTGGCGTGGCCAGCCTCCTGTCTATTCAACGCTTTCTTTACTGGAATGCTGTGGTCTTTATTTTGGGGGGGCAGGAAGAACCCCTTGGGTGGTTATCAAAAGGCAGGATGAAATCCCTTTGAAATAAGCAGTACAAAACTCCAAAGGAAGAGGTGGGGTCAGTGTTTCTTCTGCCACCTGAAATAATTGAAAGGCCCAGAATCCAATTTGATAGTTCATTCTAACTTTGAGGACCACCACTCGGAACACCCAGACTCCACAGGACTGGGCTCAGTGCTCTGAGGTGGAGGGGTTAGGGCTTCGCTTATATGGGCGAACACAAGGAGGTTTAGCATAATTACAACATTTCCCACATACGATTGGCTTCTGACTGGCAGCAATTTGCTTGGTTACGTCTCATTCCCTTCAGGAAAAGTATATTTAACATCCGTCTTATGCAATTTGATAGTCGTGGGTCTTTTGTGTCATCTGGCCTGAGTTGGGGGCAAGAAAAGTAAGAAGGAAGCTAATCCGTAACAAAAGGTCAGTTACTCCGGAAGGGGCGGGGTCTCAGAGCTGGTGCCATTGCGTCTTTCATAACATTTTACAAATCAGGAAAGGAAGAGGGTTAATGTATAACTGGAGAGGCAAAGTTCACAGCGACTCGCTGCTTGACTAGTGTCTCAGAATCACATTCCTTCAAGGCTCAGAGTCATTTAAAGTTCCAACAGCTTTAATTTGATCAGCCTATTGTCAACCAAAGGGTCAAACTCTAAAGTATTTCAGGAGGTTTTTTTCTGTGACAAATCTGAGTGACCAATGGCCCGTGACCAAGCCCTCAGGAGGTCCTGAGCACAGGTGCCCAGGCGATCTGGGCACAGCCTAACTGTATACATTTTAGGGAGACATGAGGCATCAATCAAACACATGCGAGCTACCCATTGGTTCATCCAGACAGGTGGGGCGGGGAGCTTCCAGGTTATAGGTAGATTCAACAATTTTTTATTGGCAATTGGTTGAAAGAGTTATCACTAGAAAGGAAGGTCTAGGTTATGATCAGGGGTTGTGGAGGCCAAAGTTACATCGCACAGATGAAGCCTCCAGGTAACAGGCTTCAGAGAGAAAGGACTGTAAACGCCTCTTATCAGACGTAAGGCCTGTGTTGATGTTCAGTGCTGGTCAGCTTTTGCGGAATCCCAAAAGGGAGGAGGGTATAAATGAGGCATGTCCACCCCACCTTCTCTTCACAGCCTGAAGCAGTTTTTCAGGTTAACTTTGGAGTGCCCTGGCCTAGAGGAGGGGTCCATTCAGATGGTTGGGGGAGTGGGCTTAGAATTTTATTTTTGGTTTAGACTATTTTCAAGCTTCTAACATCATCAGCCATCTTCTGCCAGGTGTGGCCTGGGGAGGGGTCCCTTACCATGTGGGGGGAGGTGCTATCACAAGTAGGCAGCTGCCCGTCAGCAGGTCACAGGAGAGCCTCTTGGATCTGGGGAAGGACCTGTGAGAGTCTGTGAAGAGGAAAAGTCAGCTTCAAAACACTAGCTTTGAGTCAAACGCATTTCATAAATAAGAAAACTAGAAAACTCTTCTGGGTTGTGGGAAGAAGGCGACCCAGGGCACCTAAAGGCCAATTCTTGCTGGAGTCCTTTAAATTTTGACTTAGGTTTTTTAAATGTTGAGAATAGACGTAATTCTCCATTCACAACTTTTTTTTTTTTTTTTTGAGACAGAGTTTCACTCTTGTTACCCAGGCTGGAGTGCAATGGCGTGATCTTGGCTCACCGCAACCTCCGCCTCCTGGGTTCAGGCAATTCTCCTGCCTCAGCCTCCTGATTAACTGGGATTACAGGCACGTACCACCATGCCCAGCTGATTTTTTGTATTTTTAGTAGGGACGGGGTTTCACCATGTTGGCCAGGATGGTCTCGATCTCTTGACCTCGTGATCCACCTGCCTCGGCCTCCCAAAGTGCTGGGATTAGAGGCTTGAGCCACCGTGCCCGGCCCACAACTTTTTAAAATGGCTAAACATGGCCAGGCGTGGTGGCTCATGCCTGAAGTCCCAGCACTTTGGGAGGACAACGCGGGTGGATCACTTGAGGTCAGGAGTTTGAGACCAGCCTGGCCAACATGGTGAAACTCCATCTCTGCTAAAAAATACAAAAATTAGTCGGGTGTGGTGGTGGGCACCTGTAATTCCAACTATTCAGGAGGCTGAGGCAAGAGAGTCGCTTAAACCTGGAGGTGGAGGTTGTAGTGAGCCCAGATTTTATCACTGAACTCTAGCCTGGGTGACAGAGTGAGACTCTGTCAACAACAAAATAAAGGAATGACTAAGCATTTTTTTTAAATCAAAGCCATTTTAAAACCCTCATCTCACTGGATTCTCAGCCGGGGCTGTCCACAGAGCAGAAGGCAGCTGTGGGAAGCAGATGGATGGTCCCACCTTCACCTGGAGGGTTCCTGCTCGGATCCTGGGTCACCTGCCCCACTCATGACACCTGAGCCGCTCCTGCTGGAAAACGGTACCTGGAACCCCCTTGGGTCTGGTCCCCACTCCACCCCCAGCACCCCTAGGGCAGTCACATGGGAGAATGGAGCCCCCGAGGCTGCAGGGGCAGAGCGGGGCAGGTCAAGGCTCGCCTAGTCCCACCTGCAGGTGTTGGTTTTTGTGTTTTTTTTTTACACCAAACAGAGCAGAGAGGGGCCAGGAAGTAAAAATAACTCCAACTCCAGGGGAGCCAGAGCCCACAGAGGCTGCAGCTCTGACCGTGCTGAGCACACACCCAAGGCTGGTTTTGGACAAAGAATTATCAAAGATGGCACTAAGGCTGCCCTCTCCCTGCCCCTCCTGGGCAAAGTCTGTGCGTTTGAGGAGTTAGCCTGGACTTGAACTTCTGGAACCGCAACTGCCGCTTGCCCTGATGCTGGGACTCTAGGGGTGCAGGACACAGGGAGGGGCGTGGAGGGGGAGAGCAGCTGGACTCTGGCCACGCTATGTAGGTGCCTGCCTCGTCTGTGGTTCGCACAACCCCGCTCACTAAGCCGCGGAAAGCCCCAGGGAGGCGGGGACCCAGGATCTCAGGGAAACCCTGTGCCCAGACCGGGTGTACCCCACCTGCAGTTATTCAATCCAGTCCCTGTGGGCTGGTCCAGGTGCAACCACAGCAGGACGCAGGTCGTCTCCAGGGAAACACGGAGGGAGGAAGGCTGCCCTCCCTCTTCCTTCTCCTCCCTCTCTGGGAGGGGAGGTTGCCCTGAGCAATGTGGCTCCCACGTAGGATACTGGAAGTCTCAGCTTCCCCCTTCCCTCCAGGGGCAAGGGGCTACTCAGAGCTGTCAGACCTCCGCAGCAACACACGAAATGTTCTGAAAACTGGGAGGAACAGCACTGCTATACAAAGGTCAGGAATAGCCATCCTGTCCTCCTGAGTCCTGGATAAAACCAACTTCTGGGAAGGAGCACAGGATGGGGCCTGGCCTTTGGAGTCAGGAAGAACCAGGCGTAAGTAACAGAACTGCCTGACCTCCCGTTTGTCACTTCAGCTCCTGGTCCGCGCCCGACTTGGGATGACTGGGTGGGCACATAAGAGGCTACGTGACTCATTCTTTCCTGCACCTCAGACTTCCTGTGCACTCGGGGCGCTGGGCGCTGTTTCAGGTCCCCGTACGCAGGACAGAAGGAAGAGAGTACCTGATTGCATGGTGATCGCTCTTAGTGGGGATATCTAGACACTAAACCAGTAGTTCTGTCATGCCAGTTGGTGATAAATTGGCTTGAAGAAGCTTCTGCTTCCAGGCAAGGTAGAGTAGATGCACCTGTCCCCATGCCCGACACTAAAGACAGTTGAAATCCCCGTACAGTTCCCTGGATGTGACACATACATCAACGAGCACATACAGAACTGTATACGTACAAAACACTGAAAGCTGGAGAGAGGAAGGCAGACCCGGTAGGGACCTTGGGACCTGAGGAATGACATGGCAGGAGTTCCCTGGGTTTTCTTTCTGCCTCATGTATCTGTGACTGGGTGCTGGAGAAGCCAGCAACACAAAACACAAGGGCCCAGACAACAAACCCAGCAAGTCGGCTCTCAGCCAAAGCAGTTAGGCAAGAGAAAGATATACAGGCTCTCCAAATTGCAGAGGAGGACGTTAAATTGTCCCTGTTTACAGATGACATGATCTTATAGAAAACCCTAAACATTCTATCAATAAGTGGTTAGAATAAATGAAATCAGTAACGTTGCAGGATATAAAATTCATACAAAAATCAGTAGCATTTCTACATACTAGCGAAGAAATCAAGAAAACGATCTCATTTATAATAGCTACCAAAAAATACTTGTGAATAAATCTAACCAAGGAAATGAAAGATCTGTATGCTGAAAACTAGAAAACATTTGTGAAAGAAATTGAAGCTACAAATAACTGGAAAGAGATCCCATGTGCCTGCACCCCCACCTTTCCCCCGCTACAAAAAAAAAAAAAAAAAAAAAAAAAGACATCCCATGTTCATGAATTGGAAGAACTAATATTGTTCTACTGTTCATACAACCCAAAATAATCTACAGATTCAATGCAATTCCTATCAAAATTTCTATGACATTTTTCTCTGAAAACAATCCTAAAATTCATGTAGAACCACAAAAGACCCCTGAATAGCCAAGGGAATCTTAGGCAAAAGAATAAAGTTGAAGACAATACAGTACCTGACTTCAAAGTATGCTACAAAACTATAATAATCGAAACAGCAAAACAGCATGGTATTGACATGAAACAGACCAATTGAACTGAATACAGAGCCTAGAAGTGAATCCATGCATTTATGGTTAACTGATTTTTAACCAAAATGCCAAGAGTACACAACGGGGAATGGACAATCTCTGCAATAAATGATATTGGGGCCAGGTGCAGTGGCTCATGACTATAATCGTAGCACTTTGGAAGGCTGAGGTGGAAGGACCACTTGAGGCCTCCCTCCAGGTTCTGGCAGACTGCCTCCGTGATCCCTTGTCTAAGGAGAAGGTGACTCAGGACCTCCCCGTGGGGGCTGAAGGTGGTGGCACCTCCAGAAGCTTATGCCCCAGGCCCTGAATTCTGGCTGCCTATGTCTGTGTGCATGCATCTGTGTTTGTATGCATGTCTGTCTGTGTGTATGCATGTCTGTATATCTGCATGCATATCTGTGTGAATATGTGGTATGTGTGTCTGTGCATTTCTATATGCTTGTCTCTGCTTTTTTGCATGTATCTCCGTATCTGTGTCTGTGTCTGCGTGTCTTTGTGTGTGTATCTGTGTCCGCGTGTCTGTGTCTCTTTGTGTTGGTGTATGTCTGTGTATGTAATGGTGTGTCTCTGTGGCAGGGAGGGGGTGTGTGTGATTTGACGTGGGGCAGGACTTAGGCTTCAGTTACTCTCAACAGGATGGAAAAAGGAAGCGGACTTTGCCAGTTCTGTTAAAACCAAGGGAGGGAAGGAGACAGGGATGCTGGCAGCCCTCCCAGAGCCCCTGGCAGCCGCTGACAGGCTGTGGACTGCCCGGTGGTTCTCAGGCACCGCCACCTACCTCAGCTTCTTCAGGATGGGGGGCCAGCCCAGCAGCTGCTGGTCCCACAGGTACTCAGGGGACAGCACCTTGGTGGGTTTGTGGCGCAGCAGATACTTGTTCAGGTGGCTCTCGTCGTGCCACACGGCCTCGATGCCGTTGGTTTGGTCGATCATCATGGCCTGGTGGCAGGCCCTGGTGAGCCGCTGCACCTCTTGCACTGATCCCCCGAAGAACCCCCCCAGGTAGTAGAAATCGCCCTCGTCCCTGGGGATGTAGGCCTGGGACTGGGGCCGGCGCTCGTACGTGAAGGCCGCCCTGCTGCTTCCGTAGAAGCCGGGATGCAGGGTCCCGAACAGCGGGGACAGGATCTCCACACCCACGTGGTCGCTGAACTTCATGTCCACGTCGGCGCACACCAGGTAATCCACCTCGCGGAGGAAGCGCCGCTCGCAGAAGTCGCTGATCATCTCCATGCGGCGCATGGACACGTCCTGCCAGCGCTGGTAGGCGGGCACCTCGAGCACCGACAGCTGCCGGCCAGCCCCCAGCGCCATGTGCGGCACCGCGGCCGTCTGGTCGGTGAAGACGTAGTAGTGGACCCGGTGGCCCACCATGAAGTGCTTCTCCGCCGTCTCCAGGAACAGCTTCACGAAGGCCACGTATCTGCAAGGCGGGAGGACAGGGCCTGGGGGAGCGGCCGGCCGTGCACCTCTGGACTGCAGGAGGCCTGCCCTGCGCGCTCCCGCCAGCGGCCATTAGAAGGCTCAGAGGAGCAAAGGCACCATGTTCTCCTGCACTGTCCTGAGCGAGTCCTCGGGCTGCGACTCACTTCATCATCTTCCCAGCAATGCAGGGACCACCGGTACCCCCTCATAGTAAGGAGGGCTGAGGGCAGGCGGCTGGAGGCTCCCAGCGGGCCCCAGGCTGGCTCCAGCTCACTCACCCTTAGCATGGCCTGAGCCATGCCTCCCCACACGGCTGCCCCTCTTATGCCGGGATCAGCTAGGTGCCCCCTCACATAAAATGTGCTCGGGGCTCCACATGCCCGCTTCTGCACCTTACAGCTACCTCCCTCCCAGGCTTGAACTGCACATATTTCTAAGAGTAGGTCATTTCTGGACTCCTCCACTGTCACTGGCCCCTCTGCCCACAGGTGCTGAGAGGTCAAGTACGTGTCTGCGTTCACCTCGCTAGCTCCCCATGAAGCTGGCCTGGCCCACAGTCCAAGGGCGTTATGGGTCAGCCGCTACCCTTGAGGTCTGGGGCCAACTGCCTTGCCTGCTTCACCTCATCTGAGGACACAGAGTGACCACAGCTCTGCCAGCATCCTCTTTCTAGGGTCCAAGGACAGTAAACAGGTGTCCCCCTCCTACCATCTCTGGTCAGTGAGCAGAGTCCACCTGCAGCCTTGTATGGAGGTGGTGGCTCAGCAGGAGGGCCAGCCACAGGTACAGAGAGGAGGGGGCAGCAGGAGCCGCCATCCCTCGGTGAGATGCAGCTTCTGGAGAAGGAGCTCAGTTTTACACCCAGGGAGCCCACCTGAGCTCAGTAAGATGCTGTGCGAATGACCTTTCCCATCTACCCTCTGGGAGGACAAGGCTGGCCGCTGCCCCACTCTGTCCTGAACACAAAGAGAGACTTCGATGTTCCCGGCCATTCCCCACAGCCCGGTCTCTGCCCTCGGCCCCCTCACTGACTTACTTCTTGATGGCAAACACAGTCAACCCGATGGTGGTGTTCCGGAGCCTGAACTGCTCGTTGAGGATGTCGATGTTGAAGGTGCCCTCCCAGACGATGGGAGCCAACCAAGGGGTCACCACAAGGACGTCTTTCCTACTGCACATGGAGAGAGGCGTGCAGTAGCATGGAGCTGGCAGGGCGCCACCCACACACACCTCTGGCACACGGCCATACCCACCTGGAAACCCCAATCAGCTTCCGCCTCCTCTGACCACCCTTCCAGAGGCAGCCTCCATTCCCCCGAAACCAACCAGAGGCAAATGCAGACTCCAACTGGGCCAGTCATTCCCAACCCTCCCTCAACATTGGATCTGCCGGACCACAGAGGGAGCTCAGCTTTGTTGGCAAAGAGACAGGAACCTCCCTCCCCACCGGCACCCTCCTCCAGCCCCCTCCCCAGGAGGGAGGTACCTATCAGGCCTCTGCAGGGGCTTTGGTGAACAAAGATAGAAAACAAGAGACCAAGTCAAAGAAAGCAAAGGGAGTGAGAACAGCCACGTGGGCCTCTGAATTCAGATGTCGGGGAAGCTGAGAGGAGAGAATGGCGAAGCAGCCCCAGCTGAGATTTCCATCAGGGAAACCGCCCTCTAATGCCCTCAGAACAGCCCCTGGAGCTTCGTGCAGCTTCAATAACTTACTCACCAGGGTGTCAGCGTCTTTGGCTGGGGGTAGACCATCCTGCAAGCACAAAGCGCCATCCCGTGAGTTTGGAGTTTGCATGGGAAGCGTGGGATGCAGTAGGCAGGGGGCGCGTAAAGCTGCTGCCCTGTGACCGGGCGTCCACCCTCCCGCCAAGGCCACCCTCCCAGGCTGGAATCACTGTGGCTGCTCTGGGCTGTGTCAGCCCACAACCCCAGGACCCCGGGGCAGGGCCGAAGCTCAGAGTCTCCGATCCAGCACTTGTAGACTGGGGATAGGGACGAAGTGACCTCAGGCCCATTGCTTTCCACTTCACTTAAGGCTGGGAGGGATGTAAGGGTCATGTCTTAATTCACTGTGGGCAGAGAGGAGGCTGCGTGTGTGGCCCCTGTCCCCGGTCATTCCCAGGGAAAGGGCCTGAGACGTGCAGACGCCCCACCTGGGCCCGAAGCCTGCTGGGTCTCCTTGTGGGCTGCTGCCATCCACAGCCCGGCTTCTCTGAGAAGTCAGGGAGTAACACCTGCTCCGACAGTGACACAAAGCACCATTAGGTGCCACACACAGCCTGTGGGACATGCGGGCCACAGTGATGTCCCACCTAAAGTCCTGGAGAGGCCTAGGAGACATGAGCCGGACCCACTGAAATTGTCAGTAATGACCACAATTTGAATGTCCTATGATGGCTTTTAAAAGCAGGGAATCAGCTGACAATAGAAGGAAATTCTGACACTTGCTACAGCCTGGGTGGACTGTGAGGACATCAAGCTCAGTGAATTAAGCTCATCATAAAAACATAGCTACCACTGATTCCACTCATAAAAGGTAGTTGTAGCGGTCAGACTCAGAGCCACAGACCATGGAACGTTGAGTGCCAGGAGCTGCGGGAGGGGACACAGCAGTGGTTGTTTCATGGCGACAGAGCTTCAGTTTTGTAAGATGAACAGAGTCCTGGTGACGGCGGCACAGTAACGTGAATGGACTTAGCACCACTGAACACTTAACAATGATCCAGGTGGCAAATTTTATGTTAAGTGTATTTGACCACAATTTTAAAAAATAATCAAAAGCAGTGTGGGCAGCATGGCCTTGGTTGCCTGGACTCCCACAGTCTGAGCACTGATAAAGGCCCACATCCCGGGAAACAGCCCCCGAGGCCCAGACAGAGCAGACCACTGATCCTCCTCTTTCAAAGCCAGTGACAGGCAGCTGGTGAAAACTGCAGCCCCGGCTGCATCGTGCTCTCTGAGTGGCTGCAGGACCAGGGCAGAGTCAGAGCAGAGACTGGCGAAGGAGGAAAGAGGAGCGGCTCCCACACGCCTCTGCCCACACACACGCAGGTACCCCGCTGCAGGACAATTCTGTGACATGGGAGCCACTGAAGGAAGACACTGTACCTTGGCAATGCGACACTCTGCAGACCGCCCGGTTCCCTAAGAGGTGTGCTGCAGAATGAGAACACAGGAGATGAAGTTTACTCCAGCAGCAGGGATTGAGGGCACAAATGCATGGAAGCCAGCAGAGGGTCCCAGTGCAAGGGACACAGCGTCAGCCTGGAGCGCGGAGCAGAGTCCACCAGAAACAGCCACAGAACAGCGATCACTATGCTGATGGGCCTGGCGTGGGCCCGTGGGCCAGACCCTGTAAGGCCAATGCTGCTGTCTGAGGTCTGCATTTGGGGGACCTCACAGCCCACAGGTTCACCAGACACGTCGAAGCCAAGGCTGGGCAGAGTGGAGTTTCAGAACATGTCTGCAAACTCCAAGGCCCCTCCCATCAAGAGATGGGGTCTGATACTCCTGTTTCTAAGAAAGAACATGTGGCAGAAGTGACACTGGGTGACTTCTGAAGCCAGGCCCTAGAAGGCCATCGGGCTTCTGTATCTTCCTTCTTGGGATATTGGTTTTGGAGCTTCCAAACCAAGCTGAGCAGGAGCCCAGGCCTCAGGGAGAGGCCATGGGTAGGTGTCTCAGCCGAGAGGCAGCATCAACTGCCAGAGACGCAGGGAAGTCCTTGCAATGACCCCAGCCACCCACCGTCTGCCCACAACTGCCTGCGGCCCCAAAGTGAACCAGCCAGGTGAGCCCCGTGCACCCTGGGAAGCCCAGGGACAGCTGTGGTCAGTGGCTGATCATTTTCCATGGATGGGGTGGTGCTCTGCAGCCAGGGGTCTCTGACACGAGTGGGAATTAGCAGACACAGCAGGGGGCACAGCACGGGCACAGGCCCGGAGTCAGGACCGCACGGCACGTGGACGAGCCACAGGCCACTCTGAAGCACAGAGGGCGAGGCAGAGGTGGGAGAGATGAGGCTGGGGAGGTCAGGCAGGCAGGATCAGACCATGGAGAGCCTCCTACCTCCTGTTCTGGAAAGATCACTCCAGCTACTGTGAGGACGCGGGGAACAGGGCTGATGGGGATGGGGAGACGAGTCTGAGGCTGTTTCAGAGCTGAGGCAGCCCCACCAGACCGATGGAGCAGGGCTGCGAAGGCAGAGGCCGGTGGGCGTGTGAGCGGCTGAACAGCAGGGCTGGCGGGACTTGAAAACCCAGCGTAGGGCTGAGGGCAAAGCGAGAGTTGAGGATGGCAGGTGGAAGGCGACTCAGGAGGAGGGGCGTGGGCAGGGAGCAGAGACCATGTGTGCGAACTCTAAGCTGGACTCGGGGACTGGAGGTCAGAAGGAGGGCAAGGCTGACTCCAGAGATGTGGAGGCAGACGTGTCAGGTGACCCTTCAAGGCCACAGAGCTGGCCACATCGACGCTGGGCATAGGATAAAGAGGGGGCCCAGGCCAACCCATGGGTGTGCCCGGGAGGGACAGGGGGAGTTCCCAGAGTGGGACCCCGGCCAACAGCCAGCACCCTGGCCAGCACAGACGGTCCGCCTGCCCTTCCCCTCACTCACCGGGCCTCCAGTTCCGGGCTTCCTGGCGTTAGGCTTCTGGGGCTTAGGACCCCGTAACTGCAGGAAGGAAGTGTGTCAAGGTTCAGGACACAGAATCAAGACTGCCCATCGATCCCTTCCTCCAAACTGCACGTGCTGGGGCCAGCCCTGAGCACAGGAGTCCCCAATGAGCTGCAAGGCCTCCAGGCAGGCAGGAGACATTCTCAGCAAAGCCCTGGCGCCTCCCACATACCACACCAGGAGGTGGGCAGGAGGGGGTCCCTGGGGATATTGCTCACGTATGGGCACCTGCAGCAGCTGCAGAAGGCCCCCCGCCCCCATGCCTTGGTCAGTGCAGCCCCCGAGGCCACCTCAGGGAGCATTCCAGGCCGTGTCCACAGATGCCCCACTCTGTGGTTCTGGGACCTTCTGTGTCTGGAAGCGGCTAACAGCTCAGGACCCAGACTTGCCTTCCCCAGCCCCAGCCATGCAACTGTGGGCAAGGGGCTCGCTCTCCCAGCCCCAGACGCCCCACTTATGAACATTGTAAATGGGAGAGTGAGGAGCCCATTGCCCGGGGAGACTTAAATAAGGGAGCAAGTAAACATGCCTCCCCCACAGCCGGACGTGGGCAACAGCTGTCCTCAGGACCCTGATGGCTACTGTGATGCCTGGTGGCTGACAGGGTCCCCATGGGTCTGAATAGCTGCTGTGGCCACTTCTCCCCAAACCGGGCCATCACCAATGGGCAAATGCGTCTTACCCAAACAAGACCAAGACAAGCATTGTTAGGAAAAGGATCATGGGTAGAGGTGCGGAGCATTTTGGTTTTCCTGGAAAACAGGTGTGGAAAAATCACATCACTCACCCTCCTCCGCTCACCTGCCCCACTCTCCGTGTCCCGTCTTGTGATTCAGAAACCAGACCCTGCGAGGGGCCTTCATCTGCCAAGGCCGTCCCTCTGCCCACAGGGAATGTTCTGAGACCCCCCTGAGCATCTGCAAACCCAGTCCAGACCCGGCCCTCCTCCCGCTCAGAGAACAGGGAGGTGGTCTGCTCCTCCCAGCTCATCAGCCCGACTGCTCCCACAGACTCTGAGCGTCACCCTGGCTTCCCAATGACGTCCTTCTACGCAGCACCCTCTTCCCATGGGAGACCGAAGGGGGCCACACTGAAATGAGCACCTCACTGTTGAACCCACTGGGGGAGGCCAGGACAGCCTCACGGCCAGGCTGAGCCAGGAGGCCAGACCAGTTCCTGCCACGGAGAGGAGCCTCCAACCTCCCCCGGTGTCTCCCTGCCCTCTCAGAGGCCCGTGTTGTGGGAGGCTGTGAGCAGCAGGCCAAATCCTGGGGCCAAAAGAGCCCAGGTGCCGCTTGTGGAAGGCTCAAGTCCTGATGATTCAGGTCCAGCCCGTGGACGGCACGAGGCGGCACGGGGCTGGTAGCGGCACGAGGCACACCAGGCCGGAATTTTCCAACTGCAAGCTTCCTTTGCCCCGCCCCCCTGCCTGGCCTATTTAAGCTGTGAGCTCAGCAACAATAAACGAGACTTGATCAGACTCCTGTCTTGTCTCCATTTCTCGCGTCTCCTGCCCATCCATCCCCACTCCCTCCCTTCGGGCTCCTGTTGTCGTCCTGCAGGTCGGGACACCGTGTCCTGGAAACAATCAGTGGGGTTTCTGTTAAGGTGATTTTGATGTATGTTCAAGTCACGTGCTGTAGTTCCCCGTTATCCACGCCTTCCCTTGCTGGAGTTTCAGTGACCCGTGGTCAACCAAAGGCCAATAATAGGTGAGTGCAGTGCAGCAAGGTCTTTTGAGGACAGGTCTGGGGGCTCATGCCTGTGATCCCAGCACTTCGGAGGCTAAGCCAGGAGAACTGCCTGAAGCCAGGAGTTCTAGACCGGCCTGGGCAACATAGTGAGAACTCACTTCTATCAAAGAAAAAAAAATTAGCTGGGCATAGTGGTGCACCCCTACGGTCCCAGGAGGCTGAGGTGGAAGGATCGCTTGAGCTTAGGAGGTCAAGGCTGCAGTGAGTCACGAATGCACCACTACACTCCAGCCTGGGTGACAGAGCAAGACCGTCTCTAAAAAAAAAAAAAAAAAAAAAAAACCCACAAACTAAATATAAATATATATATATGTATATATGTATATATATACATATATATATATATATAATTTTGAGAGCGATCACATTCACATAACCTTTATTACAGTATACTGTTTTGTGTTGCTTTTGAGATGGAGTTTGCTCTTGTTGCCCAGGCTGGGAGTGCAATGGGGCAACCTTGGCTCACTGCAACCTCCCGGGTTCAAGCGATTCTCCTCCCTCAGTCTCCAGAGTAACTGGATTTACAGGTGCCCACCACCACACTCAGCTAATTGTATTTTTAGTAGAGACAGGATTTCACCATGTTGGCCAGGCTGGTCTCGAACCCCTGACCTCAAGTGATCCGCCTGCCTTGGACAATATATTGTTATAATTGTTCTATATTATGATGATGGTTGTTAGTTCCATCCTGTGCCTAATTTATAAATGAAACTCTGTCATAGGAATGTGTGGATAGGGGAAGACATAGTCTGTAGAGGGTTTGGTACTAGCTGTGGTGTCAGACATCCAGCAGGGATCTCGGAACGTATCCCCCGCAGGTCAGAGGGGACTGCCGTTTTCACAAGGTCAAGCCTGGAAGGCTTCTGTCTCCTGGCCCGGTTCCTATTCCTTCCCCTGAAATCAGTCCCTTTCACCTCATTGTTCTGCTGCTTCTTATCCCATAAAGCTCGTCTGTATTTACCTCCACCCTTCTAAATCCTGTGAGCATGGAACAATTTATCTCGAATAGCTTCCTGAAACAGAAACATGGGAGGCAAAATTTCAACTTTACACGTCTCAAATTATTTTTTCCACTTTTGCGGTCGGTAGATTGTAGGGAAATCTAGATGAAAATAATTGTCCTGCAATTTGGCAGAAATTATTCCATTTTGAAAAACTTTGAAAATCAACTTCATTTGAGGGATAACTTACATCCAGTAAAATCTATGCTCTTCAGCTACACGGTTTTGAGGCGTTTTGAACAATGCACACATGTAATCACCCCCGAAACAAGTTAGACAACATTTTCTTCACCCCAATAAGGTCCCTCCTGACCCCGGATCTGGTTCCCTGGTGTTTCCCATAAACAGAGTCGCCTGCCACATGCTCTTTTCTGTCTGGCTGCATCACACAGCAGGACGTTTTGAAGATTCACTTACACTGTCTCGTGTATCAGGTGTTCGTTCTTTTTTATTGCGGAGAAACGCCATTATTAATACACCACAATTAGTTTATCCCAGGTGTCCCCAAACTATGGCCCGCGGGCCGCATGCGGCCCCCTGAGGCCATTTATCCGGCCCACCCCCGCCACACCTCAGGAAGGGGCACCTCTTTCATTGGTGGTCAGTGAGAGGAGCACAGTATGTGGCGGCCCTCCAACGGTCTGAGGGACAGTGAACTGGTCCCCTGTGTAAAAAGTTTGGGGACGCCTGGTTTATCCTGTCTCCTATTGACAGATATTTTGGTTTTTACGGTTTGGGGCCCCTAGCAACAAAGCTTCTATAAACACTCGTGTGCAGGGATCTGTGGACCTTTGTTTTCATTTTCCTTGAGTAAATACCAAGGAGCAGAAAAGATGAATCTTATGGTAAGCATGGGTTTAACTTCTTTCCAAAGCGGTTACTGAGCTCTCCATTCCCACCAGCAATGCCAGAGAGCCACGGTGCTCCACACTCCTGCAGACACCTGATGGTCACTCCTTTACGTTTTAGCCTCCTAGTGGGTGTGTAGTGGTGTCTGATTGTGGCCAGTGACTAAGCAGGACAGTCATCTTTTCATGTATTTATTGGCCATTTGTTTGCTTCTTATGAAGCCTGTCCAAATGTTTTGCTCATTTTATTATTTTATTTTATCTTATTTTGAGACAGAGTCTTACTCTGTCACCAGGCTGGAGTGCAGTGAAGCGATCTCGGCTCACTGCAACCTCCGACTCCCTGGTTCAAGCGATTCTCTTGCCTCAGCCTCCTGAGCAGCTGGGATACAGGCAGGCACCACTACACCCAGCTAATTTTTACATTTTTAGTAGAAACGCGGTTTCACCATGTTGGCCAGGATGGTCTCCATCTGTTGACCTCATGATCTGCCTGTCTTGGCCTCCCAAAGTGCTGGGATTACAGGTGTGAGCCACCATGCCCAGCCCATTTCATATTTATTTATTTACTTATATATATTTTAGGGGACACCGTCCCATTCCAGTTGCCCAGGCTGGAGTGCGGTGGCAGGATCCCAGCTCACTGGAGCCTCCACTTCCTGGGCTCACATGATCCTCCCACCTCGGCCTTTTGAGTAGCTGGGACTACAGGAGTGCACCACCATACCTAGCTAATTTTGGGGGATTTTGATAGAAATGGGTTTTACCCTGTTGCCCAAGCTGGTCTTGAACTCCTGGGCTGAAGCAATCCACTTGCCTCCGCCTCTCAACATGCTGGGATTACAGGCATGAGCCACCTCACCCAGACATTCGTTTTTATTTTCTTTTAGAGACAGGGTCTTACTCTGTCACCCAGGCTGGAGTGCAGTGTCATGATCACAGCTCACTGCAACCTCGACTTCCTGTGGTTAGGCCATCTTCCCCCCTCAGCCTCCTGATTAGCTGGGACTACAGACATGCACCAACGTATCTGGCTAATTATTCTACTGTTTGTAGACACTGGGTCTCGTTTTAAATTGAGTTGTTTCTGTTTTATTATTGAGCAGTAGAATTTACTTCTATATTTTGGATATAGGTCCTTCGCTAAATACAAATATTACAAACATTTTCTCACCAGGCACAGAAAGACAGACACCGCATGTTCTCACTTATGTGTAGTATCGAAACATCAAAACAATTAACTCATGGAGATAGAGACTAGGAGGATGGTTAGCGGAGACTGGGAGGGGCCGTGGCAGGGGTGGGAGGGTATGTGGGATGGTTAATGGGTACAAAAGAATAGAAGGAATAAGACCTAGTATTTGATAGCATAACAGGGAGACTATAGTCACTAATAACTTAATTGTACATTTAAAAATAACTAAAAGAGAGGCTGGGCACAGTGGCTCACGCCTACAATCCCAGCACTTTGGGAGGCTGAGGCAGGTGGATCACCTGAGGTCAGGAGTTGGAGACCAGCCTGGTCCACATGGTGTAACCCCATCACTACTAAATACACAAAAGTTAGCCAGGTGTGGTGGCATGCACCTGTAGTCCCAGCTACTCAGGAGGCTAAGGCAGGAGAATTGCTTGAACCTGGGAGGTGGAGGTTGCAGTGAGTAGAGATCACATCACTGCACTCCAGCCTGGGTGACTGAGCGAGACTCTGTCTCATAAAAAAATTAAAATAACTAAAAGAGTATAATTGGATTGTTTGTAAAACCAAGGATAATTGCTCAAGGGGATGGATACCAGTTCTCCATGATGTGAATTTTCCATTGTATACCTGAACCAAATATCTCATGGACCCCATAAATATATACACTATGAACCCATAAAAATTAAAAACCAAATACTTTTTTTTTTTTTGAGGCGGAGTTTCGCTCGTTACCCAGGCTGGAGTGCAATGGTGCGATCTCGGCTCACTGCAACCTCCGCCTCCTGGGTTCAGGCAATTCTCCTGCCTCAGCCTCCTGAGTAGCTGGGATTATAGGCACGTGCCACCATGCCCAGCTAATTTCTTTTGTATTTTTAGTAGAGATGGGGTTTCAGCATGTTGATCAGGTTGGTCTCGATCTCTCGACCTTGTGATCCACCCGCCTCGGCC